CCTTTGCTGGTTAGTTGGAAACCATAAGGCCCCTACCACGCCGAACCGCGCGCAAAACTTCTGTGGTGCAAGAGAGTGGGGCTGGAACTTTTCCACGAATGACGCTTGAACTGCACTTGCCGCACGGTAATTTAGCCCCAGCGACAGAGAGAGCTTTTGTCTCAGACGGAGTCATGGCCGTACTCGGACGGAGCATCGTCCGAGGTCCAAATCCCAGACGAACTCGATCTGGTACATGTCTTTCGAACATGAGTGCTGTTGCCACCCCGTTTGTTGCTACTCTCTCGCCTTACAGTGTTCGACGAGTATGGAGCGTTACTTCCTAGCCGCGGTAATGCGCGCACTTCAAGAGGAGTCGACGCGCCGCAGCACTGCTACATTGAGTACCTGACGATTAGGTCCTGACGCGAATGCTGCGTACGTCACCCCGCTTGCAACACCTGTTTCGCCACGACATCGACGCTCCACACCCACGCTAAGTGAACCATGCACCTTACCCTGGCACAATTTCTCCCTGTCGTCGGATTGCTGAGTAACGTGTTGCTATGCAAGCGGCAGCAGCAAGTTGTGTGGCTTGGTCCTTGATCATTATCGAACGCACAAATACCATCGCACCGTAGCTGAGCTTAGAATGCTTCGGAGCGATATACGTGCCGTCAGGTTCCACCTGAAAATAACACATTTGTGAAAAAAAACTAGGTCTTTAGTGACACTATTTATTGACTGTTGAGGAGTATTGTACAGTACCTGTACATACAGCCGGTATAATAGGAAGTAGCGCCGCTTGCCTAGCGTATGGACTGGGGATGAGGTATTCACAAAGCCCCGCACGGAGTAACCCTGTCTAATTGCTCTTTGGATCCAGTTGAGTGATTCTAGGCTCATCTGGTACTCTGATCAACTGAACAGGAGCTGTTACTTGTACAGTTGATATCGTTGGAACCAATCGGGGTAGTGCCAGGAGCAGGACATTGGGAAAATTCTTGCGAAATACGACCCCTCCCTCAAAGTTTTCTCCTCTGCTACGATACCCCTTTATCATCCCTCACCCTTCCTAGCTTTGCCAAGTCCCTAACAATTCGGTTTTTTTCCAAAAATTCGTCCACTTCCCCTAAAAAACTGCGTTCCAGCGCCAGGTAGGGTTAGGGAACTTGAAACATGGGGAACTGAGAAAAGTCGAGAACCGAGAACACATTTTTTATAGGCAAGTACGAACAACTCCCTCTAGCAGCCGCTACAACGCCTCTCGCGGGGGTTCCCAACCTGCAAACTCCCTGGCTCGGAACCCTCAGAATCTATATAGCGACCCATAGGCGACGTTTTTTACCACTGGTTGTTTTTTCCTGAATCGATCGCGACCGATCACTACTGGCTGAACACGCAGCTGAGGCGGGCTAATTCCACACCTTCTGACTCCGCCCCGATTGATTGCGATGATATCACTTTGAATAAGCCTCACTGATTTTTTTTCCAGAAATTATTCCTTTTATGACCACTCTGAATCCATCATCAAAAATCAGCACCTTAGAGTATCGCATCAACATATTCTGCCGAGGAATTCTGTACTTGTCGAACAACAGGAAACCATTGTCGCTGGAATTGAAGCCAAATTTGGGCCCAATATCACCAACGCGAACGCCTTAAAAACGCTAAAACCATTTTAAACACAATTTGCGCTATTTAAGAAATTACAGCACCTTTCAGAGGTTTGTGAGTTTCAAGATCCCGTAGCTGAACGATGAATGGATGAGGTCCATGACAGACCCCTTGAGTATAGAGTTGAGCGACAACAATAGCATAGTTGGAAGATTTTCCGAGAGCGCCAGGCCACCACCTGGAATCACATACATTGGTGAGCCTCAAGAGAACAGCTTCTGAAGGAGAATATTAGATGGTGCAGTCCACACTAATCATGTGGGCAGCGGCAGGCCTATCATTTTGCTTTCCTACTTTGCCTCTTCATGGTATAAAAAAGAAGGGGCATACCAAAGAAGAGGGCATAGAGGGTGCTTCTACACCTGTACAGGGAACCAGTAAAGTCAGCAGCCTTTGTGAAACAATCTGGTTCCCTGCGGATGCAGGGGCTTGTCAGGGGAGCCGGGTTTGGTGTGGCGCCAATCCGTTCTCCTCCATCAGCCGAAACGTGGGAATCGACAGCTTTCGATGGAAAAGGGTCTAACGCCACACCAAATCCACCCTCTCCCCCTCAGCCCACTGACATGCTATAGCATCCGGAGTGATTAAGACTGTAATGTTGTTGGTGTGGGAGCACGCCATCACGATTGGTAAAAGTTTTTTGAACACGACATCCCCCTCCCATCTCAGGATCCCTTAAGCGGAAGACGCGCGAGATAGAAGTCCTTATTTTATTTAAATATAAAATTGCCGCGCCCTCAACAATCAAAAAAATTTACCCGCACTAAGTACAACCATCCCCTGCGTTGGGGGACTTCCAGCGATTAGGTGTTGTGCCTTGGTCAACAGTTTTCACGCGTCGGAAAAAAGCTTTAATGAACTGGTGCACTGAAACTATCCGCAGGTCACCTGCCATTCGCTAAATCTCCACCAGTATTGACCTCAGTCAGCAAAATTCAAACGAACTTGGCAGAGGTGATGGTTGGCGAGTTGATAACGAATTCCTCAGTTTTCGGATCGTACGCGTCAGCAGTAGTTTCCAGATTTCTACAGATTTGTCCCTCGAAATCGGAACGCTCTTCATGTCATACGCTTGTTGGAACAAAAATAAATTTATGCGACAGTGACGTACCGAAGATCTATTCAGAGTTCATTAGGTTCAAAGGCATCTAGAGCTAAACGGCGTCCACATAAGACGCCGTTGTTCTGCGCGACAAACGACACCTGCATGCCTCAGTTCTTCAGCAGGAAAAGCCCTAAGAGTGCTATCCACCCCCTAGTCGCACGGCGTATGACAAGCCAAACTATTGGACCTCCTTCATTGGTTCCACTTTACGTCTCAATGACTGACGCCACCAATGAGCGAAGCACGGTATGCTAAACCCTGTCGTAGACAACCAAAAGTGATGTGTTTTCAAGCGTAAAACCCACCGTGCCCGAGCTCGGTCTGTGCATAAGTGCCGATAATGCCGCGAGAGATCGCTAAAGACAACCACTCGTCGAAGCTGTTCGTCGTTGGTTTGACCCTGTATCGTTGGGATGAACATCACAAAATGTAGCGACAACGGATGTAGATCTCGGCCCATGATCAGTCTACAATGAGATATTAATGAAAAAAATACTAGAAAAAACTACTGGATCATCTGAAACAATTAAACTCACGACTGGTAGTACATGCCTTCACCGAAGAAATCTGATGCATCTATTTGTTCGAGGTTGTCGCTCATTACCACGATCTAAAAAAAGCACTGATTGTAAGGCTGTCGGCACACAACTTCCTCAAGACCACGAACTCTTCCAATTCTCCTGTTTTGGTGCGATACAGGTCAGAAAGGCAGAGCAGTCGGCGTTGGTTATTCGTAATGGGTGTGCCACGCATTAGAGTCCTACAGTAAATTGTGGAGGCGTTTGGGTGGGTTGCCAGCCGAATTGCTGGAGCTAGTTCGCATTTGTGCTTTTGTTTCATTCTTCCATTTATGCTCCATATCCGGGAGATGAGGCGAAGGTGGTGTAGTGACAGGTGGCACGCTTGCCTCACGCATGGTCGGGCGGTCGAATCCCGGATCCCCCAGGCCAACCTCGTCTCTATTCCTCTGCTGGGACGTCGAGTTGGTAGCAGGTTCCTCTGCGAGCACAGGAACACTATATTGTCCGACCCCCGCAAGTAAATGAATAGTACGCATCGTGTTCGATAAACCACCACGATTCTCAATAGAAGTAGAACGTGTGCAAGGTGCCCCCCCTAAGCCAAAGAGCTCCGTTTT